GAGAAGCAATGTCCTTTGCTCTTTCTGCTGGTCAGAGGGATCTGGGGCTGTAGTCTTTTCTCCCTGGGGATCTTGTAGCCTGCCTGGGGAAGATGCTCACAGTAAATGCCTTCATCACCTGGGTGATGGCGGTGAATGAAAATAGGCTGGAATGAGGGCACAGGCTTCAGAGCTGCCAATATGCTCACCCAGCGCATGTCTTTCTCAAGGAAATGTAGTGTGGATGTATCGAGCACACATAGGAAGCCGTAGTTGCTGTCCCTGGCTCCCCTCAGCTTGTGAGCTCTGGCTTCCACCTTCACATTTAGAGTGATCTTTCCCTCCTTTCCCATCTCACATCCTCACATTTATTTGCTTTCCTCATCAGACTTGTGTTCTCCAGCCATTACTGATATGCCTGCAGCGTTAAGCAGTGCTGCTCCTAGAACACCGTTCTTTGTAAGCAAGGGCGCCATGGGGGAATCTCACTAAAGGGAATCATGTGTCCCTTGAGTCAGCTCATTGAGTCCTTGGCACCCTGCTTCAGCCAGTGCCTTTTGACTTGTAGACTGCTCAGGAAAGAAGAGAAAAGGGGACTCTTGCATGCGGTCTCTACTGAGAAGAATTTTCCAGCTACATCAGGGCTCAGGGGAAAGATGCTTGGGAATGTGGCTGTGGTGTAGCCATACCTGCAGGGGTAGGCAGGCATGGTGGTGCTTTGGTGACATGACATTTGTCACTCTTCAAAGGAAAGGTCTCATGAATGGGGAAGGTGAGTGTCAGGGATGTGGGGGAGGGAACCATCTTGGTTGTGAATCTTTGGAGCCACTGAGGAGCAACTGGAACTAACAGGAACCTGGCAATCTAGTGCCCCTGAGGACTGAGTTTATTCGTGATTACTCAACTGGCAATAAGGGTTTTTGATAAATTGTCATGCCGTTGTGCACAGGTTTGTAAGACATTGCTACCTTGAGTGTCGAGCACTGTCTCACAGTGCTCTCTTCCTCTGTAGAGCATGTTGTATCCTTCCTCAGCAAGATGCAGATAGGGCCAGGGACCTGGCTTTCCCCATCTCCTGGTCTCTGCTCTCTTTTCTGTTGATGTTTTTCCTATTTCAGGGCTTTGCAAATGTTCTCAGGTTTAAAAAAAACACTCATGTCTGTTGCTAAACAGGGTGCATTTCTGAAAATCTTTGTGGAATTTAAGGTCTAAGAGCATTCCTGTCCCTGAGACAGTGTTTTGTTTTTTCTCTCTTACCTACAATTTCAGTTTCTGTTTTTACCCTGGTGGCAGTTTGTTGCCTTGTGGCTGGAGCCAAACGAGGAGGGGTTGGGGAGCATGAAGTCCTGCAGACTGGCCCTGCAGACTGGGCTTCTGTTACCTTATCTCCGGCCTTAGCTATGCCGGGGCTTGTGTCCACCAGCCAAATGATGCAGTTTAGACTCTGGGGGTGATGAAGAACATTGGTAAGACATTAGCTCAAAATTCTGAGGCTCCAGGAAGGTACCCAGTGGAGCTGTGGAGTTGAAGGCTTCCCTGGAAATAAGCCGTTTGTAGCCAGGTTCCTCCAGGCTCCATGGGTCCTGGCTGCCCGGCTTCAAGTTCATCCATCAGTCAGTCATCTTGCTTGTTCTCCAGTCTCCACTGGGCTTTGCCTGGGCATGGTGCTGAGGCCAGCTCACCAGAGGGTATTTGATTGATTTGAGATGCTTGTGATCACATCACAGGGAGGTTTTTTTCCCCCCTCTGTGCCCATGCTTTCGTGCTGTGGGTTGAACCAAGTGAAATTGTCATTGCTCAAGCACTTCCAGTTTGTGTCATAGATGAACACTAGCCACCAGAGAGACAAGGCCCTGTTTCTGCTCTGCCTTCTCTAGTTGCTGGTGACCTGGTCCTTAGAGTAGGGAATAGGGCTTTGCTCTAAATGAGTCCAAGGCTTCCTGAAAGGAAGATAGGAATTTTGGAGTAGGCAGGAGGTGAGCAGGAGTGAGTGACGGTTCTGAGACTCTCCGTGTTTCAGTCTCCAGGATCCTGGAAGCTGAAGCCATGTTTCAGGCAGGCTAGGAAGTTGGACCTGGCCTGGCATGGTGTAGGGGATAGGTCAGGGCTGACATTTCCATGCGCCTGAGCTGGGAAGTCATCTTCTTCCTACGTCATGTCTTTGGTCACACCCAGCTCAGCATCCTCGACCTCTCAGGTAAAGGAAGGGTCAGGGTCCCTTCGGCCTCCACACTCCTCAGTTTTCTAGAGCTTGATGTGGTAGCCAGGAGTATCTGAGGTTAGGGGAGGTCCAGTCAGATGCCCAGGGAGGCTGTTGTCTGCACCTGTGCACAGTGGGCTTGATGGCACTGTGGGGGTTGTAAAGTGGGTGGCCCTCATGGGGATGCATGGTGTTCTCTGCCCCTCCATGGGGCAACAGCTGCCCTTCGAGCTGCTCAGCCCCTCAAGCCTAGCCTACGGCCTTCCTGCCTCTCATCTGCCGCCTCATGCTACAGTTAAGGTGTATCCTCATGAATTTTGGAGCCCATTGTGGGTAGTGTGGTCCCTGCACCTCTCTTCTTGTGTCCTCTTGGGCATTGTTTGTAATCCACTGGTCATGATTACCAGAGACCAGTGCAGGAACCTCATGTCACATTTACATGCCTAACGTGGAGTCCAGTAGCCTGTCACTATAGGGGGAGGCCAGGACACAGCACCCACTTTCTTTTGTTGAACTGAATAAAGACTGTTAAGTTCTAGGTATATAGCTTGCTGTGAGAGCACTTGCCTAGCATGCAGGAGGCCCTGGATTGGATACACTGCAATTCAAAAGGGGGGAGAAAGTAATTGGAGCCTAGTGGTAGGTTAATTATGAGGAATGATGAAATAGGTTCTTGTCCTTAGCCACAGTGGAGAACACCTGTGGTATGAAGCAGGAGCCAGGCAGCCTGGTCCACACCCATCAGAGGCTCAGTGGGATGGAACCCCCAGCCCATCAATGGTAATCTCTGTCTACTGTTAAATTCCAGCGCTTCATCTAAACTGATGCCTATAAGTGTGTTTTCTTCATGTTCAAGGGACTGGGGTGTTACGTGGGGCATAGCAATTTCTTCTGTGACATTGTTTTATGAATGTTGAGACGGGATAGTCCAGGTTGGCTTTGGATTCACTGTATTGCCTAGGATGACCTTGAACTTCTGATCTTTACGGTTCTGCCTCTAGTATGGAGATTTCGGGCATGCATCACACCCAGTTTTATTCCTTTCAGGGGGTTGAATCTTGGGCCTAGTATATACTAACAACCAAGCCCACAGACATCTGTGACATTTGGCTCCACCCTACTAGGAAGATCCTTAGAAAGTGTGCAGACATGCCCAGAGTTGTTTCTTGAAGCAGATAGCTTCTCTGGAGATTCTGAGTAAGACAGAGATGTGCTCTGCCCCACTCCTGCTGGGTCCCCTCTCCTGCTGGGTTGAGGAAGTTTCTAGGTAGGTGCTGTGTAGCCTGCATTTTCATTGCTCTCTGTGGCAAAGACTCAGCCACTGAAAAGCCACACAGAGGAAGGTGTCAGAAGATTGTGGTGCAGATGTCTTCACTAAAGCACCTATTACTTTTTTTTTTTTTTTTTTGGTCTTCAGCATGGCAATCTTTCCTTCAGACTGGGCAGACATTTTTAAAGAAAGATGTCTTAATGAAAGCTGTGTTTAATAGTTTTTCTTTTTCCCCACCAGTTTAGCCAATTATTTTATTAATTTAGCTGCCACAAAAATGAACGTAACATTTGAGCGAGGATATATTTGCAAATAAAAAGATGCCACACAATGCCACAGTGCTTTTGTACGGATGTGTCTTATTTTCTGTAGCCCCTGAAGGCCACCCAGTTCTGATTTAACTTCCCTGAGCAGAGCCCTCCCTCTGGGAGACTCATCTCCTTAGACACCAGGGTTTCTCTGTCACTATGGGACCGGTGACATATGGCCAGTATTGGCTGCAGCTTCTTTGCTGTCAGGTGGACTGTGTTTTCCTCCTGGTCTGCTTGGCTTCACCTAAACATATCTCACCCTTGTCCAGCAACCTACAGGGGCAGCAGGCCATTGCTTCCGGTCCTGACACCTGCTGGGTCTAATGTTCCATGCAATCCCCAAGAATGATGACCAACTTGATTTTGAATGTGTTGTGAGGGACTTTGCTTTTTGGACAACTTAAGATGTAACAGGAGTCATCTGAAAAAGACTGTCAAGGGTGAATCACATTGGAAAGAGAGGTGCAACCCGAGCCTGCATTGTGGTGGGCACTACCACAGGCTGTCATTTATGACAGGAAATGGCCACTGGGAGTGTGACAGTCAGGTGAGCAAAGCCATGGATGCTGGTTGTGGAGATCTAAGATGTGAGACAGACTGAGGTTAAGCACCATGACCAAATCCCTCAGGACCGAGGGGACTCCTTGTCTTTCTGACTCAACAAAACCACCCTGGCTGAATCACCTCTCTGGTTTCTCTCTGAGGATCCTAATAGCCAGCAGAGACTCTTTGCACCCTGCAATCTGGCAACCGGTTCTAGTTACCATCTATCGTGTGTGTGTGTGTGTGTGTGTGTGTGTGTGTGTGTGTGTGTGTGTGTGTTTTCAGAAAAGTAACTACATTAGTAGAATACTTATAAAAGATGAAAAGCTGCCCTGATATAAGGTCAGGTCCAGGCAGGCCAGGCTCCTGCCACAGTGTCTCCACATTGTGCCAAGAATCATGAATGCCATCAGCTCTGCTGTGGACATGAGGAAGGCCTGGAGCTTGAGCAGGAGAGGAATGGACAGCCTGAGAGGCCTACAGCATTGTTGAGGTGTGCATTGTTACACACCACAGCCTTGAGGTGAGAATGTGTGAACTTGGGCATGTCATGGCCTCTAGTGTAGGAGTAACATAGGGGGCTCGTATGACTATTCTTTAGTACCGCTTCCTTCCCCACCAAAATGACATATAGGGGACATTTGGATTTGTCTTGAGTTGTGGCATGTCACATCACATTTTCCATCCTCTATTACAGATGCTTTCGTGAACAGCCAGGAATGGACACTCAGCCGATCTGTACCAGAGCTCAAAGTGGTGAGTGACACCTGTGGCCTGTGGGAGGGAGGAGACTAGAATAAGCAGGGTTGGGTGTGCATTCTGTTTCCTGGGGCCTGCAGGGCGGGGCATGCTGTATCTGGGGTGGGTGCACCTGGGCAGGACTATCACTGGCAGTGGGGAAGCTGGAATTTTGAGTGTGCCTGCAAGAGCCATAATTGCCATCCAGCAGGTGGTGGTCTGTGCACAGGACTAAGACTGTTGTCTGTGTATTTCCCCTACCTCGCTCTGTGCTGCTCTATGTCTGCATCACACATAAGCACTTGTGTACATATGCCACTGTGTTCTTAACTGTCCCTTGCTGGGTGTTGTGACAACCTCTGTAGCAAGCCATCCACAGTCATAATTTTTGTCATAAAGTAATGACTGTTTATACAGTTATGAGCTCTTGGTGTAAGTCAAGAGTTCTGCTTTTAATATAAGCAGCTTCCAGCAGACTTAAAGCTTATGGCTGGCTTCTGTGAATGTTGTCCATTGCAGTCACCTCTTAGGGCCCAACTCCATTGCACGCCCGTGATACTAGCATGGAAGGAAGGGACAAGCCCACATTTTAAATAATCTTTATTGTGACTTGTGCTGGACTGTATAATTTTCTTGCTTGAACATGGATGAGCTCCTGCCTATTAGCAAGCTTCAGGTGGTGGAGGACCTAAGTGTGGGCCTCCCGCCCACTCTCTCACTGTTCATTTTCCCATTTTGCTCACTCTTTCTCCTACCACCTTCTGACCTACCTGAACTCCAGGTCGCCCCCCCCCCCACGCATTCCTCCTTCCTGCTGCCCTAGCCTCAGTGATGCAGAGAGGGTGGGATAAGGACTTTTATGTGTCTCTCACACCTGAATGAGGCAGTGGTGTGTCTCAGCAGTGCCAGCTAATGGATTGTTCATTTATGGGAGACAGCCCTCCTCCTAGCCTCTGGGGTTCTGCAAGACTGGCCCTGAAATAGCTGTCTTCTATGTTTCATAGCTACCATAACTTTGTACAGTATTAGAGTGTTATACAAATACCCGATGAATGAGTGACAGAGGGTGCCAGTGCCATGAACAGGGCCTTTTCATAAAGATTGGCCAGTTTCAGATACTCCTGGTAGGAAACCTAGGTACTAACCCCTCTGGTTCTGCAGTGAGTGACAAACAGCAAGGCCAGGGTGTTTGTTTATAGAGCACACACTCGTGGGCATGCACTGCCTGCAGGTTCCATGTAATTACTGCCTTCAGTCCTAATAATTACTCCAAGAGTAATTATTGTCAACCTGTGTCACAGATGAGGTTTGGGGCATGAAGAGCTTCCTGAGAAGCCATCTATGGTAGAGTAGAGCTGGGATTCGAAACCAACACTGCTTTGGGAGCCTTCTGTGTATCCGTCCCCACTGTTGCCATAGCTTCTGGCCCCAGGTGTCCATTTAAGTCAGTACAGCAGCCAGGTGGGGTGGGGTGCTTCAGCCTCCTAGCAGCACAAGAGATGGCTAGGAATCAGGTGTTATCGGGGATTATCTTCCCGAGAGCCTGCCTGCACTTAGAGGTGTTGCAGGTTTCAGGGCCTGAGTGGTTTTTGTTTGGCTGGTTTGGGCTTTTTAAGACAGCATCTCACTTATGTACTTGGCTGCTGTGGAACTCACTATGTAGTCCAGGCTGGCTTTTAATTTACTGTCTTCCTGGCTCAGCTTCCCAAGTGCTAGAATTAAACAGGCTTGTGCCTCTATGCCTGGTCTCATCTACGTATTCTTATCAGCCAGTAATGAGGATGAGCACTCCCAAAAACTTTCCGCTATGTGGCTTTCTGTCATAAGCATTTGGTGTGTTTAGCAAGTATTGACATTTAAAGAGACAGTGAAGGGATCTTCTAAAGCTGGGCTGCCTTGAGCTCACTGTGATTGACTTGTAGTCAAGGGCTCATCTGTGGTTTGAGGAGGGCCATGGGCTCTGCTGTCCTTGTGTGATGAGGATGCCCAGGTCTGAAGAAATACCCCTTTGTTCTGTGAAGCATTTCCCTTCCCATGCCCACAGGGCTGTTATTGTTTTTGCCCCCATGCAGCACCCAAGACTGGTAACCCTTTAGGTCATCGCCTTGGGACCCCCCAGCCCTGCTTGGAAATGTAGCCATGGAATGATGTCACTGAGTCTCCCAATAGACCTTTTATGGAGTATTTTACAGTGAGTCTTGGAATCCATCAGGACACTGTTCACTGTTGCTCCTTGTGAGAGCAGTGGGCCTCTGCCTGGGGCTCTTTGAAGTTGGGCTGTAGTTGCTTTCAGCACTTGCAGATTCATGCCAGGCTTCATGGGCTCCATGCCTTTTTTGCCGGGGTGGAAGCAGTCGACAGACATTGCCTGCAGAGGGGCCACTATCCATTTTACTTACACTCTCAGCTGGCTTTTATTTATAATGTATTTATTTGTATTTTGTTTACATTGGTGTTTTGCCTGCATGTCTGTCTGTGTGATGGTGTCAGATTCCCTGGAACAGGAGTCATAGACAGTTGTGAGCTGCCATGTGGGTGCTAGGAATTGAATCTGAGTCCTCTGGAAGACAATGCTCTTAACCACTCAGCCGTCTCTGCAGCCCCTCAGCTAGGATTGTTAACTAAAAGGCTCCCATTTATTTTGCAGTAGATTTGTGTTTAGTGGTTGAGTAGAAAACACAGGGTGTTAGTGAGTTGAGGTTATATAGGTGCTGTGCTTTGCTTCTTCTGGTAGACAGCATGGGGCACAGCCCTAACTGATGCGTGCACGGGCGAGGTGGGGTGACAGCGCCTATCTGATGTACCCAGCTCTATCATTATCAGGGCGCCTCCTTTCTGCCCATGAAGCCCTTTGGCTCAGGCCGAGTTATTTACTCCTCTGTAGGTGACATTCAGGAGCAGTTGTCAGTTTCATAGGAGGGCCACATGCTAACAGACAGTAGTTTCTGCTAGTGTTTCAAGTTAAAACAGTGTGGCTCACAATCTGTGAGATGGTTACACAAGCCAAGCAACCTCCATCCCCAGCCCAGGGTAGGTGGCACTGGCCTGCTCAGGGATACCTTTGTCTATTATTGCAGAAAAGAGTGGCTCGTGTCGCCAGACAGAGAAAGCCCAGCTGCACAGTGCTGGGTTTCTTCCTCCAGGAAGAGAAAGTGATCTTAATTAAACATTTCATTTCTGTGGCATACTGGCTTGGATTTTCTCAGCCTGAAGCTGACAAACAGCAGGTGCCCTTGAGCAAAAGAATAGTTAATAGGCAAATAGTCTCCAACTGTGGAGGCTCAAGGTAGGAAGATGCAGGTTGGAATTGGAGGGGGCAGCAGCTTTGTGCAGGAGCCGTGCACATGCTCTGGCCCTCAGCCCAGCTCTCAGTGGTAGAAGAGCTCATTTCTATTCCACAGTGTTAGTCATTCATCAGCCATTCACACACTGATGCCATGGGGGCTGTGCCTCTTCCTTGGGCTGGGTGCCCTGGCAGGGCAGAGAACAAGATGAGCAAGACACAGTCCCTTCCTATAAGGAGTGGCGAGTCATGTTAAAGGCTGTGTTGTGCTGTAGTGTAGCAGCAGAGCATCTTTCTGGCCCCAGGTGAGGCTGTGACATGAAAGTGTCCTCCTCCATCCAGGCTGCTGTGACAAGATATGGTATGGTGGCTTGTGAACAGTAAAACCTCTTTCTGTAATTGTTGGAAGTCAGAGGAACCTGCAGATTTGTGGGCAGGTGAGGATTTAGGGCTTAGCTGCTCTATAGGTCACAGGTGGGATGTTGATGGCTGTATGGATAGTGTCCCAGTCACCCATCCCCTCTCAGAGGTCCCACCCAATGCATCTAGGGCCTGGGGGACACAAGCATTCAGAAACCAATAGAATTGGTCCTCGTAGGTTGTGATGTCTGAACTGGCTGCCATTCCTGAGCTGGAATAGGATTTGGGGCTCTGATTAATCAGCATGGAAAGTTCTAGTCACCTGGAGACAGCAAAGCCTGTAGAGATGAGATTGGTACCTTGTGAATATAGAAGACAAAGCCAGGAAATAGGAAGCTGAATGGCAGAGGGCTGCAAGCATGGTGAGAGGGTAAGGACAGCCTGTGGATTTGGGGGCAGTCACACAGAACAATGGACTATGGGGCAGTTGGGACTTAGGGAAGAACATGGGATTGATATGTGGTCATTGGGCAAAAATTAGAATACACAAGGCTACTGAGTAGAACAACTCCCTGGAGGGAGGGAGAAGTGCAGGGCTCCCAGCACAGGCCAAATGTCCTTTCACCAGAGCACAGGGATCAGCCTTGCCTCCCTGGTTACTGCTGGACAGCGGCACTCACACCACTCTTTCCCTCTCCTGTTATTTTCTACCAGCTCTGATCCCCTTGGCTGTCCCCGCCACAGCTTAACTGTTGTTTTTCTCTTGGTTGTGTATTTCTGTGAGGCAGGCTTGCTGTCGATACTCCCCACCCTATCCCAGGTACTCCTGCTTCCAGCTTTCCCAAGTTTACCTTAGGGTGGAATGCACCGTATGGCCCTGTCTGCAAAAGACCCTGTGTGGCATTGTGTCCCATGGAACCTTTCCATCTTAGTATATAGGGAGGCTCCTAACTCTGTGGACAGTTGAGCTGGTACACATGTGCCATATAAAGCCAGCAGGGGTATTCCCAGGAGAATGCCAGCCATGCTGACACCCTAACATCATCCAGGACAGAAGCAGCTAAATCAGGGTCTCCAGTAGAAATAGTGCTGAGTTCATTTTTGAATACCTCTCCACCATTTTATCAGGATGATTATAACCCTGTGTGGGTTACCATGTATTTTAACTGCTGTGTGCAAAAAACTAAATAAATGATTTAATCACCCCTAACTGTTGTCTTTTTTTTTTCCTGCAGGGAATTGTGGGTAACTTGGCCAGTGGCAAGTCTGCACTGGTGCACCGGTACCTGACTGGCACATATGTGCAGGAGGAGTCTCCAGAAGGTATGTTGTTTGGCAGGTGCCTTATTACCAGATTATAGTTTGGGGCTTACATTGTTTCTTTTGCATACCTAAGTCATTGATGACCCATGCCAAGGCCATTAGAAAGCCACCAAGCACCAAAGAGACTTAGGTATAAGTTCCCTCCTATAGGGGCCTTGGTGCACTCCAGCCTTTTGAGCGTTAACCATGAGATGCCCTTGAGTGCATTTCCACTGTAAAGTGTGTCCTCTCACACCTTAGTCCAGAGCTGCTCCTTTGAGTGTGGGTCTGAAATCTCTCTGATCTGGACACTGACCTTGCAATGCTGTTTAGTCACAGACACCAGCATTTCTAAACCCGGTCCAGATCACCCCTCTATGTGTTTGAGTATGTTTCCCTTTCTATTTTATTACAAACATGTAATAATCATTTTGCATGTGAGTTAGGCATTTCTTTTGCCATTAGACATTTTGATTCTTCTGTTGACATATCCATGTCTTACTGTGGTTCTGTTTCTTTTATTTTTTTTACTTTAAGATTATGACAGAGGTAATAGAAAGCCCCGTAGTCCCCTTAATCAAAGTGTAGCCCACAAGCCATTTTCTAAACTATATTTTCTCCACATGTAACCTTTTGAAATCCAACTCTGAGACACTGAATTTCTGGTTCCTTCTTTTTCTTACTGGCTGTTCCATTCTTTGCAGATATGGACGCAGGTAACTATACATTTTCTTCATGGCAGTGCTTGTCTCGCTCTGGAGAGAGGAGAGGCACACCCTTGTACTGTAGCGTTCCCTTCCCACCTCGTTCTGTGTCTCATCCTATTTTGTTTCATTTCACATTTCCTTTTAAGTTCAGCATTTCACCCTGTTTTGTCCCTTAGCTGTCTTTTGAGTAGTAGTCCTAAGTAGCTTCACGTGTCCCCTGTAACACATGTTCTAGCCCTTTAACTCTTGCCTTAAGACCGTGGAACCATCTAGAAAGAACAGAATTCTGAGGGGCTTGCTTGGGGCTCTGCCACCATTCTGCAATATTTTCCAACCATGTTTTGTAAGCATCACAGCTGCCATGTCAGGGAAATACCCACTTTTCAAAATCTCCCCATGGATTGACGATTCCGGAAGAGGACAGGAGCCAAACAAAGGTTTATGTAAGAGACCAAATGGACAACGGCTTGAACTTGTGGGGACTACAGACCCAGGTATTCAGAATTCAGAGTGTGGAGGAGGGAGGAAGATAGTTTCCATAACCCCCAAGACCCAGCTAGGACTATTCAAGGGTTTTCTTCTCGGTGCCTGAGTGTGAGTGGTCACCACAGCCAGCTTGACTTGGAGTTTGCAGTGCTTCTGTCTTGGGCCTTCTGTGTGGTGGGACTCACGGTCATACAGTTGGTGAACACCAGCTACCAAGGATCCGCAGCTAACCCAACTGCAAGGCAAGCATGTGCCCTTTTCGGGCAACCCTGTTTGCAATGTCTTCCAACACCCCCACTTTGGTCGAGGATTGCTGGAAGTTCCAGGCCAGCCCCACCCCTGTTTTCCTTTCGGTCGCTCTGTGGCTCAGGGAGTCTATGCATTTAAAGGTAGATTGTGCTGAAGTTGCTGATTCTGAAGGAAGAGGTAGGACCACATCCACATTTGGTCATTATTGTGATGTCTGTCATTGTCCCATTGGACATTCAGTCTGTCCTAACACACCTGTGTCCAGCTTGATTTATTTGCAGTGTAGAAAACGACCTTCTATTTTGGTCAGCACAGCAGTGTTTCTCTCAAATGTTCACACATCAGAAGTAAAAATTGTCCCTTGTGAGATGACCTCACTGGCTGCTAACACCTGCTTCCTCTCCTCTGCAGAGTGGGAGCATGTTATCCCACTGGCAGACACACAACTGAGGGCTCCTGGAGCTGGGAGACAGAATTCAGGATCTCTCTCTCTCACCACCCTCACTCTGCCCACCTGTTGGTCCTGTTGCTGTGGATCCTGGGCCTAGGGAGGTTAGGATCCTAGGGCCTAGGTGTGATGGAGGAGCTTAGAGCATCATCATGCCCAGTTGTACCCAACAGGGCACAGCTGCAACTGTTGTGAATGCAGAGGCCTCTGCGTGCCTGGAAGTCCCTTGGTCTGGGCAGGTCTTTCCCTGGAGCTGCCCATGTATTCCCGTCTGAACATAGCAGGTAGAGCTATTGTCTTTGTGCGTCTCAAGATCTGACAGCTGGTTTCTATTTCCTGTCCCCAGGATCCATGGGTCCTATACCAGCAGCAGGAGGCGAAAGAATGTGCCATGAGCCTTTTGTTCCCACACTGCTGCCTTGCAATCCCAAGATTCTTCTGTGAGGTCAGGGAACTTATAGCCGGGAGATGGTTGCAGTCTTTCCCCCTGGAGTTAATGCATCCAGTTCCCCATGCTAACGGGAACTGAGAAGCTGTGTGGCCAGTGCTGTAGGATTGGCTTCTGATTTACTGTCTTTATCCAGGAGAGTGGAAAGTCTTAGGTGATTTGGGTCCTGGAAGTTTTCAAGGACAGCTGTAGCTCCACCTTCCGTCATTGACTCATTAGCACCCAGGTGGGAGGGTACAGCCCATGGGAGGAGGGGTGTGGTTGGTACCTGGCTGAAACTTTGGGTTTAGAGTGAGCTGGGTGACCCTCCAATTCCGTTGTGTTGATGTCCCTTTTGATTTGTCCTTTGTGACACTTTATTTTCTGTCGATACAACAAAACCACAAGGTTAATTGCTTTGGAAAGAAAACTGGCTTATTTTTTATTTTAGCCCACACTTGGAAAGGCTGAATGCCTACAATTGGTCAGCTCCATGTTTGGGGTCTGGTGAGGGCCTTATGGTGGCATCAGGGCCAGAGAGAGCCTGCATGACAGGGACATGATGAGACAGGAAGCTGGAGGGTGCGATGGGGCCTTTACAATGGCGATTCTTACTGAGATTGAACCATGATCCTTCCAGGCCTACATTAATCCCTTCTGAGGGCAGCATCTCTAATGAGTAGTTTCCCTGCTCTATTCCCCACCTGTTAAAGGATTCCACACCTTCCGTGGTTGGGAAGCAGGCTTCCTGTATACAAACCTCTGTAGACACACTCAAACCATGTCCTAGCCACAGAAACTGTCCCCGCCCCCATGCTAGAGCAATCAGCTGGACAACTGTCCCCCCCCATGCTAGAGCAATCAGCTGGACAACTGTCCCCCCCATGCTAGAGCAATCAGCTGGACACCTGTCCCCTATTCCACACCTTCCGTGGTTGGGAAGCAGGCTTCCTGTATACAAACCTCTGTAGACACACTCAAACCATGTCCCAATCAGCTGGACAACTGTCCCCCCCATGCTAGAGCAATCAGCTGGACAACTGTCCCCCCCATGCTAGAGCAATCAGCTGACAGTTGCCACTCTGCCCTCCACATGGCTGTGTGTCTGCCAGGCTGTGCAGCTCACTGGATCCTCCCCATTCTTTTTTTTTTTTTGTTTTATTAATTTTTTTTCTTTTTTTATTAAATTATTAATATTTTCACATATACTTTCCCTCTCCCTCTCCCTCCCCCCACCCCCATT